AGTGGGCCGGGGGTGGGGGGCAGGGTGTTATCGGAGTTCTGCTTGGGGCCCAAATCCAGAGAGAGCTCGCCAGCCCAGGGGCCCGGCCACACCTGCTTGTCTGTGAAGGAGAGAGGGCAGGTGGGCCGGAGACCCAGGGGAGCAAGCATCTGCCTCCCCCGGGGCAGCGGGGCCTCTGCCAGGTATGAAGTCGCTGGGGAAAGAATGTCCCGGCCAGCTGATGCCTCCCACTTTCTATCTCCAGCCTGGCCCTCCGCCCTGGACTCCGGGCCCGTAAATCCAGCTGCCTCCTCCCCAGACCATCATTCCCGATTTCCACCCCCAAAGGCTACTCCTGCTACCTTGGCGCCTCCATCCTTTCTTAGCTCAGGCCCAAAGCCATCCTTTTTTTAAATTTTATTTTTAAAATATATTTTTATTTATTTCGGAGAGGAAGGGAGAGGGAGAGATAGAAACATCAATGATGAGAGAGAATCATGGCTCAGCTGCCTCCTGCATGGCCCTACTGGGGATGGAGCCCACAACCCGGGCATGTGCTCTGACCGGGAATGGAACCCCACATTTTGCTTGGTCCCCAAATGCTAGGTGGGGAGGCACACAGACCAGGTTCCCGGCACCAGCTGAACCGTGGAAGCTGCCACCAGCTGCCATCACTGGCTGCCGCCTTCAATGCCATGTCGTGAAGCCACGGGTGGTGGAAGGGGAAATCGTCCCCATGGGCAGAACGGCTTCTCTAATATGCATTTATTAGCAGAGCACCCGAAGGTGTCAGGAGCTGAACGGAGGCAGCTGCCTTTGGAAGCGAGGCCGCTGCACAGGGCCAGGGTGGAGTGTGGGAGGCCAGGCAGAGAGACGCTGGGGAACAGCTTCCGCTGGCAGGAGAGCTGTCTTTGAAAGTTCTGAACATTTTTGCAGCTTTCCTCCCCCTGGGAACCTCCTGACCTGTCCCTCCTCGGAAACCCATCAGTCATCTCCCAGGCCCCATCCAAGCAGATGCTCTTCTCCAAACGGCCAGCCGGGGAATTTCGGTGCCGAGGCACCTCGCCCGCCATCACTGAGGTGCGTCTAAAGAAGTCCGTGTTAGTGAGCTCTGATATAAACCCGAGGCTGATTCCCCAGCCCATGTAGCTCAGTGGTTGAACATCAACCTATGAACCAGGAGGTCACGGTTCAATTCCCGGTCAGGGAACGTGCCCGGGGTTATGGGCTCGATCGCCAGTAGGGGGCGTGCAGGAGGCAGCCGATCAATGATCCTCTCTCATCATTGATGTTTTCTCTCTCTCCCTCTCCCTGCCTCCCTCTGAAATGAAAAAAAAAAAAGATATTTAAAACAGGTTTACATAAGGTTCTTCATGGGAAGAGATTGGTTGAAAGACAGTTTCCCTTTCCACAAACCTGTACTCAACACGAAAACCCTTTATTTTACAGATTAAGACACCGAGGCTGAGCCGAGGTGAGAGCCACGGCCAAGGTCACCGAGCTGAGAAGAGCTCCAAAGCTTGGCTCCAAACTCAGATCTTCTGACTCGAATCCAGCGCGGCCGAGGCAGGAAACCGGCAGGATGGCCCCTGCGGGCCGGCTGCTATGCGCTGGCCCATCCTCAGATAAGGAGCTCCCGGGAGAGGAAGGATCTGGGACAAAGATCTGAGCGGAGCGGGAGGACAGGAAATTCTGCCGGCTGGGATTTTCCCTGCCACCGGGACCCAGGCAGAGGGGCAGGAGGGGCCAGCGAGCCAGGGTTCCCGGAGACGCCCAGTCACCTCCCCAGCGGGCCCCTGGTAGGCAGTCCCTGCCCTCTAGGATCTCACCATCCAGGCAGTCCGATCCCCGGGGTGCAAGGAGATCCTGCCAATCACAGCTGCTGGGGGCAGGGGGGACGGGGGCTGCTCAGAGAGGAAAACACATTTGACTGGGGCCCTGGGAAAGGGTGCGGAAGAGGGGGCTGGGTAGAGCAAGAACAGGTGATTTTCTTTTTAATATTTTTATTGATTCCAGAGAGGAAGGGAAAGGGAGAGAAAGAGATGGAAACATCTATGATGAAAATCATGGATCAGCTGCCTCCGGCACGCCCCACACTGGGGATCGAGCCCGCAACCCGGGCCTGTGCCCTGACCGGGAATCGAACCGTGACCTCCTGGTTCACCGGTTGACGCTCTACCACTGAGCCACGCCGGCCGGGCAAGATCAGGTGGTTTTCCAAGTGGAAGAATCCACATGGGCCATGGCATGGAGGCAGGTGGGAACCTGAATTTGAAACCAGAAGTGGGGGCGTGGGGCCGGGCAGCAAGCTCGGGGCCCCGTGTTGACATGCTCTCGCTCTGCAGGTGGCCAGGAGCCGTCGGAGGTCTGTGCACGGGATAGTCCCAAGGTCAGTGTGTGTTTCTGGCAGTGAGTCCTGGGCGAGGGGAAGGGGAAGGGGAAGGGGAGGAGATGGAGGAAATGTGGAGGCCCGCTGCTGTGGCAGCTAAGACGCCACGGGATGAGGTAGAGACAGGGAACCAGAAAGGCAGGACTGGTTTTAAGAAGTATATTTAAACTATATCTGGCCCAGGTATGTGTGTGTATGTAGTGTGTGTGTGTGTGTGAGTGCGTGTGTGTATGAGTGTGTGTGTGTGAATGTATGTGTGTGTGAGTGTGTGTGTGTATGAGTGTGTGTGTGTGAGTGTGTGTGTGTGTGAGTGTGTGTGAGGGTGTATGAGTGGAGTGTGTGTGAGTGTGTGTGTGTGTGTGTGAGTGTGTATGTGAGTGTGTGTGAGTGTGTGTGTGTGTGTATTTTGTAGGCAGCATAACCAGGACTTAGAGTGGGGCAGATTGGTGGATTTTTGGTTACCAATAGCCAGGGCCCCATTTCCTCCTAGCAATGGCACAGGCTTATTGGAGTGAGTGTCTGTCAGGTATGACCAAACGTGTCCTGACTGTCCCAGGGGAGGACGGTGATCCCTTTGAAACACTGGACTTCTGCTCCCCAAGGGTCCTCCCCCAGGACCCCAGAGGGGCTGGGGAGAGAAAGGACCAGTCCACTCACACCGGTTGAGGTTGGAATCCTCATTCTGACACCAGCTGAAACGCAAGAGTTAAACCCTAAGGACATTTATCACCATAATTAAGCCCTCTCAGAATTAAGCGGGCATTCCTTTCCTCCTGCGGTAACTGAACCTTTCAATGTCAAGCTCAAGGACACACACACACGCACACACACACACACGCACACACACACACACACACACACACGCACACACGGCTTCTGGGTGTAATTCATCTGTCGAGATGCCTCTGCATTAACCCATTCATCTACGTGTGGCTAATGCCTCTCAAGGCCACATCTTGACCTTGACCTCACTCGACATCATGGCGGCCTCCCCCCTCCCCAATCAAAGGGTAAAGATCACAGGTGGCTGGCCTGTCATGTACTCCCTGCCCTCTCCCCCCAACAACTTGATGGAATATGTGAAGCATTCTGTTTTATACGTTGCCCAGGATTCCACACTCCTCCCTCGATCTTGCCCCCAACTCAGGGAACCCGTTATCTTGGGTACCGGCTCCACGGGTCCCCTTCCTTCTGGGGTCACCGCCTCCCCAGAGCCCCATGACTTCTGGGACCACGTGCCCACCATGGGGACAGGCAAACCAACCTTCTCCTGGCTTCCTGGGGCTGGGGCCCTGCCAAGATCCCCGACTCCCCAGTACTGCGGGAAGTCCTGGGGACGCCCGTGGTGGCAAAATGGCGTGGGGAACGGAGGGTGAGGGCAGGGCAAGGCTGTTCTGCCCTCTTTTCCAGACGAGTGACCAAGGAGGCATGTTCACTGCTGGCTGTGGCAAGGAGCTGTCCCCGTTCCGGGCAGGCCCCAGGGGTGGCCAGGGACAGGCGGCCCCAGCAGCTGCCCGTGTCAGGGTGGCAGCTCAAGGCCCCAGCGCTGTTCGTACGGTGGCCCAAGGACCACCCTGTGTTCAGTGTGTGTAACTTCAAAGCAAACATTGCCTTTTTTAAAAATATGTTTTTTATTGATTTCAGAGAGGAACGGGGGGGTGAGAGGGGGAGAGGAACATCTATGATGAGAGAGACTCATGGATCGGCTGCCTCCTGCACCCACTGGGGTGGGGATCGAGCCCGAAAACCAGGCCTGTGCCCTGAGCGGGAATGGAGCCGTGACCACTGGTTCCGAGGTCGACACTCAACCACTGAGCCACTGGCCAGCCGATTTTTCTGTCCTGAACACGGAGATCGCTGTAACTCTGTTCATTCACGTTCGCAGCGAAACGCGCACAGCGGCCAGTGCTGACCGTGAGGCACTGAGGG